ATATGCTGGACATTTTGGATATTATCCTGTGGAGACTATATTCTGAAATATCCTGATGCTTTTGTTTCAGTGGATCATTTTCTCTTTTAGATATGATTACAGACTGTCATTTTTTTTCTATGTGTGGCATCTCAGATGTCAGTTCATTTCTTGAACTGTTATTTACAATCTAGTATCCATTTATCATGATCATACACGGTTTCATGGGTCAGCCACACACTTCAACTGTTTTCTTTCAGTTGTTAACACAAAATTCATTTTATGACTGCCTCTTTTCTAAGGGCCTATTATTCATCCTGTATTGCTGGCTGCCCCAATGCTTGTTACCTTATTTTTTCTAGCCAGGAAGTTTGTCTATCAATATAAAAAATGAGGAACTCAGCCCATGCTGACTACCTGGTTCCATGTTTTGACTCTCCTCTATAACTTGCCTGCTTTATATTCAGTCTCTAAGGCTCTGATGTCTTCTGCATTATGTCCAGACTTTGTATATGGTTATCTGTGGGAACATCAGTTTCTTAGGAACTTTCTCTTCCATATAAGTACTGAAAAATCTCCAAAGTGACTTTTAATTCTGATGGTTGTCTTATACATTTCCCCCTATCAGTTAGATCTTCATCTTGATATAATAAACTGTTAAAAATCATGATGCTACCATTTTCTTGAATGGAAGAGAGAACACAAAACTAAATACTGAAATATACAGCAAATGAAGATTGTTTTCCACATGTTTATTTCATAATTAGGAAATCTCCAGTAATGATTATAAAATATCTAAACTCTGTAAACATCTGTTTTGCGAGTTTATGTCAAAATGCCATCTTATAGATGACTCCTAACCTTGAAAACAACTAAAAAACTGCAATCAAACGGAGCTCCAAAATCAATCTAACTCAAGAGTGAAAAGTGAAAGTTGCTTAGTTGTCTCTGACTCTTAGAATTCTCCAGGCCAAAATACTGGAGTGGGTAGTCTTTTCCTTCTCCAGTGTATCTTTCCAACCCAGGGATTGAACCCAGGTCTCCCAAATTGCAGGCAGATTCTTTGCCAGGGAAGCACAAGAATACTAGAGTATGCAGCCTATCCCCTCTCCAGAGGATCTTCCCGACCCAAGAACTGAACTGGGTCTCCTGCACTGCAGGCAGATTCTTTACCAGATGAGATACAACTTTACTAAACTAGAGAAAGTTACAGTGAGAAATTCTGTATTCCATTAATTACTCACAAACTTAATGATTTATTTAATTAATCAGTGATATCCTACCTCATTTTCTGTTTACCAAAGATAACCAGGTACAAAATATTCACTGACAAGTTACAGTGCTTAAAATCAGGCATTTCAGGTAAAGAAAACTGCCTAGCACTCTAATGATCTACAGATGAAAATCACTTGAGACAGGTTTCATGGTATAGATGATGTGAAGACATTATTTGTGGATAGAATTAACTTATTTATTTCAAAGCCCAGATGTTGACATGCTATCTACATTAAGCTCCAAATCACAGACAATATGGTCTGACCATTATAATGCTTTCTCTGGTGTCTCTTTTCTGCAGACATTTTGAGGCAAAAAACACAAACATTGTGTTATTATATAACAACTAATGATATAAGCTTCATTTTTAATTTAAACCAAATGCCAACTAATTAACATACCCTACCAAAATCTGATTGATTATACTCCTTGCAGCCGAAGGTGGAGAAGCTCTATACAGCCAGCAAAAACAAGACTGGGAGCTGACTGTGGCTCAGATCATGAACTCCTTACTGCACAGTGCAGATTTAAATTGAAGAAAGTAGTGAAAACGACTAGACCATACAGTTTATGACCTAAATCAAATCCCTTATGATTATATAGTGGAAATGACAAACAGATTCAAAGGATTTGATCTGATACAGTGCCTGAAGAACTATGGACTGAGGTTTGTGCCATTGTACAGGAGGCAGTGATCAAAATCATCTGCAAGAAAAAGAAAGGAAAAATGGTTGTCTGAGGAGGGTTTACAAATAGCTGAGCAAAGAAGAGAAGTAAAAGGCAAAGGAAAAAAGGAAAGTGAGACAGTGAAAAAGCTGGCTTAAAACTCAACATCAACATTCAGAAAACTAAGACCATGGCATCCGGTCCCATCACTTGATAGCAAATAGATGGGGAAACAATGGAAACAATGACTGGCTTTATTTTCCTGGGCCCCAAAATAACTGCAGATGGTGATTGCAGCTATGAAATTAAAAGATGCTTGCTCCTTGGAAGAAAAGCCATGACCAACCTAGACAGTATATTAAAAAGCAGAGACATTACTTTGCCGACAAAGATCGGTCTAGACAAAGCTATGGTTTTTCCAGTCGTCATGCATGGATGTTGACAATTGGACTATAAAGAAGGCTAAGTGCCAAAGAATTGATGCTTTTGAACTGTGGTGCTGGAGGAGACTCTTAAGAGTCCCTCGGTCGGCCAGGAGACCAAATCAGTCAATCCTAAAGGAAATCAGTCCTGAATATTCTGAAGCTGAAGCTCTAATACTCTGGCCATCTGATGTGAAGAACTGACTCCTTAGAAAAGACCCTGATGCTGGGAAAGGCTGAAGGCAGGAGAAAAAGGGGATGATAGAGGATGAGATGGTTAGATGTCATTACTGACTCGATGGACATGAGTTTGGGCAAGCTCTGGCAGCTGGTGATGGATAGGGAAGCCTGGCGTGCTGCAGTCCATGGGGTCACAAAGAGTCGGAAACAACTGAGCGACTGAACTGACTGACTGACATACCTTAAAATTTCCACTACAACCTGATACCCCTTCTCTCAGAGGAAGTGACTTTGCCTCCTACTTACCAAGGAAACTGAGACTATACTGTGTGAGCCACCTCAGCTTTGTCCCATGTCATAACACAATCTGATCTTCATCTGCATCCTCTGCACCCTTCCTTAATTTTTTAAATTTCCAGAAATAAAGTTTCAATATCAAAATTTTTGCAGGTGCCTGTCCTGATGGTACTGTACTTTTTAAATTCATAAGATGAGGAAGTGCACACACCCATGAACTTAACAGTCAATCTCCATTAATAATAATGAAACCCATAGGCTAAGCCTACAGACTGGGAACTTTCAAAACTTGAAATTTTTTTCATGAAATGCCCAAAAGGCATTTTCTTTCTCATTTTCTTAATGTATTACTTTAATTCTGGGACTTTTTTTTGGGGGGGGCAGGGGGTGCAGGCCGCACAGTATGTAGGATCTTAATTCCCTGACCAGGGATTGAACCTGTGCCCCCTGCAACTGGAAGCATAGGGTCTTAATCACTGGACCACCAGGGGATATCCTGAGAAGCATTCTCTTTTAAAGGTTCTGACTCTGATGCAGATGATGACATATACTCTGTTGTCTATGCTAAAGTTCAAGGAATATATCTTTATCACATGAGTACTTGCATATAGAACAAGGTGACAAAGAGTTACTACTTATTTTCACCATTGGTATAAAATAATGTGGTAAGAAAGGGCTGCTGTGACAAACTGCTTAGTTTGTAAAGTAGTTCAGAACAATATTTGCTCCTTTCTGAAAGAGAGAGTTAATACCTGCTGATGTTTAATCCTTTTTTTTTTCCTTTGCTGCTAATAAGCTCCCACCAATTCTGAAGTTTCATTATAGCAATCACACTGGATTTATGGCTTTTTTAGCTGTATTTTCTTGATTTTCTACTTTATTTATATTTCACTAGTTTGTCACCCAACTTAATATCATTCTGTTAGTGCCTGAAGAAACCAACTTCAAATATTTAAATGGAATAAGGAAAAGAAGTATGAAAGGAAGGCATGTTGCATATTAACTCAAAAATTTGAATTATAGAGACAATTCCATGCACACTCAACACATGGCATAACTAGGACTCAAATTCAACAAAAATACTCATGGAAGAATAAGTGGCTGTAACAAGCACAAATTCATTTCTATAGATAGCAAAACAAAATGGACAAAAGACAGCAGCCAGTACTGTCACCTTGACATAAAAATGACAGCACTACTGTCATTCAATACTATTATGGTTATTAAAATCACTGGGAACAGAAATATCTTTTCATAAGGGTAAATTCAAATTGTCACTTACATGTCCAATATAGAACATAAAATTTTAAACAGAAATATTAATGCAAAAATGCAAAGGCATAAGGAGAAATATTTTTAATGTTTAGTACTCCCTTTCCCATAGCACAATCTTCACACTGATTATTTAAACACTAAGTTTTAAAAAGGAAAAACAATTCTTCCATGAAAGATCTTCAGAATTCTAAACGCTTTGAATTACACTGTAGTATTCTCTCTCAACTCCATACAGTTTGGGATATCACAATTCCAAATGTGACTTACACAAAACTCATATATTTCCCCAGCCAGGTGTACTGCCCAGTGAATGCAGTATCTTGCTTAAATAAATCTTTGTTTTTAAAGTAAATAAACAAGAAAATATGGTAAATCACACTAAATAATTAGTCTTGCAAAATTACAATATGCACTACTCTGCCCACTTCCGTGCAACAGCAAAGAACAAGCAAAAAAATAGAAGCTAACACTCAATAGTTCCAGCTACATTTAATATTTTACATCATTTTCTTTCAAAATCATTAACTATTCTATTTGGGTTATCTCTAATATTTGTTCATAATATAATTCATATATCTTGTAATTTGAGATTTTAAATATCATGTTAAGCAATATGGTTTTACAAAATTTATTAAAGAATTATGTCAACAAAAGCTATGGCTTCATCATTAGAAAAGATTCTAAAGAATAAAAAAAAGTTCAGGAAGGGAAGGGGAAAATAGTTAAAAAGAGAAAAAAACACCTTTGAAACAAAATGAAACAAACTAATGACTCAGTTCCAAAATACACAGATGATTTTTAAACTACATTGAAGAAAACCTATCATTATATACTAAATTGTGTATAGTATTTCACATTTCACACCTATAACTTTCCATAGAATTTATAATAAGATGATCTTCCTACCTTATATCCAGGTCCTAACTGATGAATTGCAAATATCTGTGCAGGGTTGAGGGCTTCACTGAACACATACACGGCACCAAGCTGACCACAGAATACCCTATTTGCATCAGCAGTTTCTGAAGATCCGAGAAAGCACTTGTCATAGCTCTATTTTTAAAAAGTCATAAAAAAATCCAATGTTTTATTTTGCAATGACAAAATATTTAAGGATATTTGCCTTCATGGTCAGTAATACCATAAAGCATAATAATAACAACAGAAGAAACCAACAATTAAGACTCTATGGATTATTTAAATAATAAAAAAAAAGACTAAATATTTTTTGGGGAAAGTTAATCAGTCAAATGTTTCATATTTATGGGCAAGCAAACAAACAATGACTATTCTATAATCACTTGACCAACTTTCCAAATTCTACAGTTAAAAGCAAAAGAGATTAAAACTATTTATTTACAAAAGTATAACTTATTTTTACACTATAATGATTTGTAATTGTCCATAGATAGTTACCTGAATCAAAAGAATGACTCTTTCAAATTTAGCCATAAACACACTGGACCAAAATTTTTTAATTCTACCTCATTTCTCCATTATGGATATATTTCTCTATTTCTCTACACTAAGTTAAAGACACAAAGAAAAATCACTTTCTTCTTTTAGATGAATTGGTATAATGCAGAATCAAATAAACAATAATTACCAAAATCTGCTGACAAAAGCAGATGGTATTATACAATGCTCTCCATCTGGGGAGTTTAGCACCTAAGAAATCACATTTAACAAGATCCTTCCCACCTCTAATTCTTACATCTCACCTAACACATGGCCCTATCTATCCAGACCAAAACTAGTGACTATTCACTACCCATTCTCACAGGTTATTCTTCAAGCAAGACATTATATATGTATGGAATCCCTTTGATGCCTCAATAAAATAACCGAAAAATTGTGAATGAGGTCCAAAGGAGAAACTCCTCATAGAGTACCTAATCGTTAAGTAAAAGTACAGGAACTGTAGAACAGACTACATAATGTATGTGTGCATGTGTGTGTGTGTTATTCTCCAGGCATCTCCATTTCTTGGAATATTATTGCAAACAATTAAAAAATCAGTCCTTGTTTCCTTTCTTTTTTAAAATATGACTATAGAGTCAATGGCAGTCAACAAGATCACTCTACAATATAAAGACTGTCCCCTTTGGAAGGCAAATATGAAGCAGAATTTCACTGAATATTCTAATTATGGAAAAAATTATTCTCATAAATATGTATTGTCTATGACCCAACTATAAGTTTCTAGGACAGAACAAGCAAACTATTCCTATAAAGAAACAGAGAGTAAATATTTTCAAACTTTGCGATCTACAACTTGCTTCGGTCACAGATTCTTTGATTTTTTTGTTTTGTTTGAGCCTTTATTTTTTTATTTTATTTATTTTAGTTGGAGGCTAATTGCTTTACAATATTGTAGTGGTTTTTGCCATACATTGACATGAATCAGCCATGGATTTACATGTGTTCCCCATCCTGAACCCCCCTCCCACCACCCTCCCCATCCCATCCCTCTGGGTCATCCCAGTCCACCAGCCCTGAGCACTTGTCTCATGTATCCAACCTGGACTGGTGATCTGTTTCACACTTGAAAATATACATGTTTCAATGCTATTCTCTCAGATCATCCCACCCTTGACTTCTCCCATAGAGTCCAAAAGTCTATTCTATACATCTGAGTCTCTTTTTCTGTTTTGCATATAGGGTTCTTGCTACCATCTTTCTAAATTCCATATATATGTGTTAGTATACTGTAATGGTCTTTATCTTTCTGGCTTACTTCGCTCTGTATAATGGGCTCCAGTTTCATCCATCTCATTAGAACTGATTCAAATGTATCCTTTTTAATGGCTGAGTAGTATTCCATTGTGTATATGTACCACAGCTTCCTTATCCATTCATCTGTTGATGGACATCCAGGTTGCTTCCATGTCCTAGCTGTTATAAACAGTGCTGTGATGAACACTGGGGTACATGTGTCTCTTTCAATTCTGGTTTCCTCAGTGTGTATGCCCAGCAGCAGGATCAATATGGCAGTTCTATTTCCAGTTTTTTAAGGAATCTCCACATTGTTCTCCATAGTGCCTGTACTGGTTTGCATTCCCACCAACAGTGTAAGAGGGTTCCCTTTTCTCCACACCCTCTCCAGCATTTATTGCTTGTAGACTTTTGGATAACAGCCATTCTGACTGGCATGAAATGGTACCTCATTGTGGTTTTGATTTGCATTTCTCTGATAATGAGTGATGTTGAGCTTCTTTTCATGTTTTTGTTAGCCATTTGTATGTTTTCTTTGGAGAAAGGTCTGTTCAGTTCCTTGGCCCATTTTTTGATTAGGTCATTTATTTTTCTGGAATTGAGTTGCAAGAGTTGCTTGTATATTTTTGAGATTAATTCTTTATCAGTTGCCTTGTTAGTAATTATTTTCTCCCATTTTGAATGCTGTCTTTGCACATTGCTTATAGTTTCCTTTCTTGTGCAAAAGCTTTTCAGTATAATTAGGTTCCATTTGTTTATTTTTGCTTTTATTTCCAATATTCTGGGAGGTGGGTCATAGAGGATCCTGCTGTGGTTTATGTCAGAGAGTTCTGCCTATGTTCTCTAGGAGTTTTATAGTTTCTGGTCTTACATTTAGATCTTTAATCCATTTTGAGTTTATTTTGTGTACGGTGTTAGAAAGTGTTTTACAAGTCTTTTACAAGTGTTTGACCAGTTTTCCCAGCACCACTTGTTAAAGAGGTTGTCTTTTCGCCATTGTATATTCTTGCCTCCTCTGTTAAGATAAGGTGTCCATAGGTGTGTGGATTTATCTCTGGGCTTTCTATTCTGTCCCATTGATCTATATTTCTGTCTTTGTGCTAGTACCATACTGTCTTGATGACTGTGGCTTTGTAGTAGAGCCTGAAGTGAGGCAAGTTGATTCCTCCAGTTCCATTCTTCTTTCTCAAGATTGCTTTGGCTATTCAAGGCTTTTTGTATTTCCATACAAATTGTGAAATTGTTTTAGTTCTGTGAAAAATACCGTTGGTAGCTTGATAGGGATTGCATTGAATCTATAGATTGCTTTGTTTAGTATACTCATTTTCACTATATTGATTCTTCCAATCCATCAACATGGTATATTTCTCCATCTATTTGTGTCCTCTTTGATTTCTTTCATCAGTGTTTTACAGTTTTCTATGTATAGGTCTTATGTTTCTTTAGGTAGATATATTCCTAAGTATTTTATTTTTTTCATTGCAATGGTGAATGGTATTGTTTCCTTAATTTCTCTTTCTTTTTTCTCATTTTTAGTGTATAGGAATGCAAGGGATTTCTGTGTGTTAATTTTATATCCTACAACTTTACTATATTCATTGATTAGCTCTGGTAATTTTCTGGTAGAGTCTTTACAGTTTTCTATGCAGAGGACCATGTCATCTGCCAACAGTGAGCGTTTTACTTCTTCTTTTCCAATCTGGATTCCTTTTATTTCTTTTTCTGCTCTGACTGCTGTGGCCAAAACTTCCAAAACTATGTTGAATAGTAGTGGTGAGGGTGGGCAACCTTGCTTGTTCCTGACTTTAGGGCAAATGCTTTCAAAAGAAAGGCTATGAGAAAATACTCGAGGAGATAACAGTTGAAAACTTCCCTAAAATGGGAAAGGAAATAGTCATACAAGTCCAAGAAACCCAGAGAGTCCCAAACAGGATAAACTCAAGGCAAAACACCCCAAGACACATGATAATCAAATTAACAAAGATCAGACACAAAGAACAAATATTAAAAGCAGCAAGGGAGAAACAAAGAATAACACACAAGGGGATTCCCATAAGGATAACAGCTGATCTTTCAATAGAAACTCTTCAGGCCAGAAGGGAATGGCAGGACATACTTAAAGTAATGAAAGAGAATAACCTACAACCCAGATTATTGTACCCAGCAAGCATCTCATTCAGATATGAAGGAGAACTCAAAAGCTTTACAGACAAGTAAAAGCTGAAAGAATTCAGCACTACGAAACCAGCTCTTAAATAAATGCTAAAGGATCTTCTCTAGACAGGAAACACAGAAAGGGTGTATAAACTTGAACCCAAAACAACAGAGTAAATGGCAACGGGACCATACTTATCAATAATTACCTTAAATGTAAATGGGTTGAATGCCCCAACCAAAAGACAAAGACTGGCTGAATGGATACAAAAGCAAGACCCCTATATATGCTGTCTACAAGAGACCCACCTCAAAACAAGGGACACATACAGACTGAAAGTGAAGGGCTGGAAAAAGATATTTCACGTAAATGGAGACCAAAAAAAAAAGGACTAGAAATACTCATATCAGATAAAATAAGACTTTAAAATAAAGGCTGTGAAAAGAGACAAAGAAGGACACTACATAATGATTAAAGGATCAATCCAAGAAGAAGATGTAACAATTATAAATATATATGCAACCAACATAGGAGTACTGCAATATGTAAGGCAAATGCTAACAACTATGAAAGGGAAAATTAACAGTAACACAATAACAGTGGGAGACTTTAATACCCCACTCACACCTATGGATAGATCAACTAAACAGAAAATTAACAAGGAAACACAAACTTTAAAAGACACAATGAACCAGCTAGGCCTAATTGATATCTATAGGACATTTCACCCCAAAACAATCAATTCCACCCTCTTCTCAAGTGCACACAGAAGCTTCTCCAGGATAGATGACGTCCTGGGCCATAAATCTAGCCTTGGTCAATTCAAAAAATTGAAATTATTCCGATCATCTTTTCTGACCACAATGCAGTAAGATTAGACCTCAATTACAGGGAAAAAACTATTAGTAATTCCAACATATGGAGGCTAAACAACACGCTTCTGAATAACCAACAAATCATAGAAGAAATCAAAAAAGAAATCAAAATATGCAGAGAAACAAATGAAAATACAACAACCCAAAATCTATGGCACACTATAAAAGCAGTGCTAAGGGGAAGTTCATAGCATTACAGGCCTACCTCAAGAAACAAGAAAAAAGTCAAATAAATAACCTAACTCTACAACTAAAGCAACTAGAGAAGGAAGAAATGAAGAACCCCAGGGTTAGTAGAAGGAAAGAAATCTTAAAAATTAGGGCAGAAATAAATGCAAAAGAAACAAAAGAGACGATAGCAAAAATCAACAAAGCTAAAAGCTGGTTCTTTGAGAAGATAAATAAAATTGACAGTTTGCCAGACTCATCAAGAAACAAAGGAAGAATAATCAAAGCAACAAAATTAGAAACAAAAATGGAGAGATCACAACAGACAACACTGAAATACAACAGATCATAAGAGACTACTATCAGCAACTATATGCCAATAAAATGGACAACTTGGAAGAAATGGAAAAATTCTTAGAAAAGTATAGCTTTCCAAAACTGAACCAGGAAGAAATAGAAGATCTTAACAAACCATCACAAGCACGGAAATTGAAACCATAATCAGAACTCTTCCAGCAGACAAAAGCCCAGGACCAGATGGCTTCACAGCTGAATTCTACCAAAAATTTAGAGAAGAGCTAACACCTATCTTACACAAACTCTTCCAGAAAATTGCAGAGGAAGGTAAACTTCCAAACTCATTATATGAGGCCACCATCACCCTAATACCAAAACCAGACAAAGATGCCATGAAAAAAGAAAACTACAGGCCAATATCACTGATCAACATAGATGCAAGAATCCTCAAAAGATATTCTAGCAAACAGAATCCAACAACATATTAAAAAGATCATACATCATGACCAAGTGGGCTTTATCCCAGGAATGCAAGGATTCTTTAATATCTGCAAATCAATGTAATACACCACATTAACAAATTGAAAGATAAAAACCATGATTATCTCAATAGATGCAGAAAAAGCCTTTGACAAAATTCAACATCCATTTATGATAAAAACTCTCCAGAAAGCAGAGATAGAAGGAACATACCTCAACATAATAAAAGCTACATATGACAAACCCACAGCAAACATTATCCTCAATCGTGAAAAATTGTTTGAGCCTTTAAAGAAAAAATAATAATCTTTAAAGAAATATAAAAACCAAGCTGAACTTTTCACTTCTGCCCCAAAGCCTTTGCACTCATGTTTCCACTGAAGGGGGTATTTCTTGCAAACACCCACATGGCTTTCTCTGGTCTCAACACTAAGGCCATCTCTGGACGATCTGGCTTCTCCATTCCCTACACCTAAACTTTCTGTATTTATTCCCACTGAACCTTCCTCCACAGTATTTACCACCATTAATCTAATAAACAATATTAACATACTGTACACATTTATTCTATTTAAGGTACTCCTTTCACACCCAAATAAAGTATAATACACATCTTTTAATGCTTCAGATTCTGAAAATAACACAATATTGCAATTAAATTTTGACCTAAAACTTAATAATCTACCCAACCGATTTTTTTTTCTATCACCAGTTGTGTCTTTTAGCAATTTAATTATTCTAAATTAAGGCAAAATTCACTTAATAGAAAAAAACTTCAAAATAAAGCTAGTTTCTACCAATTATATTATTCAATTCATGCTATAATCAGTGATATATCAAACACTCAAATACATTAAAATACAGATAAATAAAAACTTACATCATTTGTGTTAACATGCCAAGCCATATCACCATATGATACCAGCTGCCCATTAACATAACACCGAATTTCACTGTTTCTCCAACGATTGTAAATGTGGACAATGCTGATCATGTACCACTTAAATGAAAAAAAAAAAAGGAAATCAATATGTAATGTTTGGTTGTAATTGTTTAAAGGCAATCGTTAACATTTATCCCACACTACAAAAACTTACTTAAAGGAATATTAATGATAATCCACTACAAATATGTCAAATTCCCTCTCCCATTTCTCATTTTACAGATGACAGAAATTATTAATAGAGAATAAATGTGTGATGGAAATAGAGCAAGAACCTTTGGAGCCCTAGACTAATATTCTTTTATTATACCAAGATCCCAAAATTGTGGAAACATAATTATATTTGTTGTCATTCATTTAATAATATTGGCAGTGTGTCAGGCAAACTGACAGTTTTGACAGACAGATCATAGGTCAAGATTTATTTATTCAAGATTCCCTGGAATTTAGGGGGCAGTGGAAGGATCCATACATTAGACAAGTAAACAAATACAGAATTATAAAACCATGTTGATGACTGTGGATAGAAAAAGACATTGTAAACTGAGAAAGAATAATGTAAGATTCTACTCTGGATTGCATTGTCAGGCAAAATCTGTCAGAGGAACACCATTTTAACAGCTATACTAAGATTGAGGTAATTTCATTTTCATAATGTAGAATTATTAAATATAAGAGTAGTTATATATTCTAACTTAGTATATGACGATAAATTGAGAATCAAGGAATAAGTTTATACTGAGCTCTAATTTTATAGTTACTAGTGTCAACAAAAAGCATTCTGACATGAGATGGTTTAAGTTCTCTAACAATTTGTGAATCTAATCTTTAGTCTAATTCAGATAAAAGTTTGCTTCAGATAATAGCATATTTCAGATAATATATAAACATCATTTCTAAACAACAGAAAAATACAAACAATTTACAGATGTTTGAACAGATTCTTTCACCAGTAATGAAGGATTTCGACTCATTTCACCCCCAAACATAAAAATATAAAACACAAACTTGTTCTGAGATTACTTAAAAACACCATTCAATTATTTCATACTTAATTTGCATGATATTTATAAAGCCATAACAGTAATTTTCAACCACTAAAATATTATTTTTTCAAGGTACCTGAAATACTTTGAACAAAAATTAATTTTCCTCATTTTGATTTACAAAATAAAATAGTGCACTAAAAAACTCAGAAAATAAAATTAACACAAAACGACATTCTTCCTCAGTTACAAAAAAATGTCAGGTCAATTGGACAAGGTCAGTTTTCATTCCAATCCCAAAGAAAGGCAAGGTCAAACAACGTTCAAACTACCACAAGATTGCACTCATCTCACAGACTAGCAAAGTAATGCTTAAAATCCTCCAACCAGGCTTCAACAGTACATGAACCGTGAACTTCCAGATGTTCAAGCTGGATTTAGAAAAGGCAGAGGAACCAGAGATCAAATTGCCAACATCTGTTGGATCATCGAAAAAGCAAGAGAGTTCCAGAAAAACATCTATTTCTGCTTTATTGACCATGCCAAAGCCTTTGACTCTGTGGATCACAATAAACTGTGGGTAATTCTTAGAGAGATGGGAATACCAGACCACAAGACTTGCCTCCTGAGAAATCTGTATGCAGGTGAAGAAGCAACTTTAAGAACTAGACATGGAACAACAGACTGGTTCCAAATTGGGAAAGGAGTACGTCAAGGCTGTATATCGTCACCCTGCTTATTTAATTTGTATGCAGAGTACATCATGAGCAATGCTGAACTGGATGAAGCACAAGCTGGAATCAAGATTGCCAGGTGAAAAATCAATCACCTCCGATATACAGATGATACCACACTTATGGCAGAAAGCAAAGAACTAAGCAGCCTCTTGATGAAAGTGAAAGAGGAGAGTGAAAAAGTTAGCTTAAAACTCAACATTCAGAAAACTAAGATCATGGCATCTGGTCCCATCACTTCATAGCTAATAGATGGGGAAACAATGGAAACAGTGACTTTATTTTTGAGGGCTCCAAAATCACTGCAGATGGTGATTGCAGCCATGAAATGAAAAGACACTTGCTCCTTGGAAGAAAAGTTATGACCAAACTAGACAGCATATTAAAAAGCAGAGACATTACTTTGCCAACAAAGGTCTGTCTAGTCAAAGCTATGGTTTTTCCAGTCGTCATGCATGGATGTTGACAATTGGACTATAAAGAAAGCTGAGCGCTGAAGAACTGATGCTTTTGAACTGTGGTGTTGGAGAAGACTCTTGAGAGTCCCTTGGACAGCAAGAAGACTCCAACTAGTCCATTCTAAAGGAAATCAGTCCTGACTATTCACTGGAAGGACAGATGATGAAGCTCAGGCTCCAATACACTGGCCACCTGACGCAAAGAACTGACTCACTGGAAAAGACCCTGACACTGGGAAAGATTGAGGGCAGGAGGAGAAGGGGACGACAGAGGAGAGATGGCTGGATGGCATCACTAACTCAATGGACATGAGTTTGAGCAGGCTCTGGGAGTTGGTGATGGACAGGGAGGCCTGGAGTGCTGCAGTGCATGGGATCACAGAGTCGGACACAACTGAGCGATTGAACTGAAGTGCAGTATCACTAAAGAATTTAAAGCAGGAAAGTGACATGATCATCTCCATAGCATAGGAACATAACTGACAGCAGTGAGGATGTGAGACTGTTAGGACTAAGAGCTGCTGTTATTCAGATGCTCAGTCGTGTCCAACTCTTTGCTATGCCACAGACTGGAGCACGCCAGGCTTCTCTATTATCTCCCTGACCTTGCTCAAATTCATGTCCATCGAGTGAGTGATGCCATTAAGATAAAGGCATTGGTAATTCTAAAAGGGGGGGGGGACAGGAACTAGTTAACAGAACTGCCTTGAGGTGCTAATTTTAAAAAGGGAATCTAAAAAGGTTTCCAATTTTTCACTTAAATGGGTAGTGGTAACCAACTTAATTAATTAACAAAGGTAGCCAATTATTAGCCACATAATTAAGTTTGGAATTTGCTTTTGGTCATAACATCAACATGTAAGATTAAATGGGTGAATAAATGAATACACAATTTAAGGAATGATCTCAAAATTAATACTACTTAATTGTAAGAAAAAAACTTTTCTATTTTCTTTCCTTAGGAAAATCAAGATGTACTCTACAGATAACAGACAAGTGACTTTTTGAACCAAAAAAGCCCAAGTTTTGACTTGATAGTTTTTGACTAAAGGAAACAGGAATAAACTTGGGAGTGTGTATGTATACTGATACTATAAATGTACACTGAGGTCTGCATTTAGTTTGAGACTCAAAAATAGCAGTATAAAAGAAAGATACTCACAGGAACAATAAAAAAGGACTATATTAAGAATTCAGTAGAAAAATATAACATGATACTTATACAAATATTAATAGTTAGTACAAATTGAGCACGTTACTACATATGAGGTAATATGCTAATCATTTACATTCATTTCCACAAGGTCAAACATCTGGTTAAGTGATAGCACTAGGAAAACACTTCTTGATAGTCCAACTAAAGTTCTTATTAGGAAGGATAACAACTTAGCTAGGGTATCATCTGAAAAAACTAAACAAAGGGAAAAAATAAGAGAGTGGAATTATCTTGACTAATCAAACAGTAAGAACCAGCCTCCCAAAGTCGGAAATTTAAGAACCATGGGTTTGATCCTTAAGTCAGGAAGATCCCCTGGAGAAGATCATGGCAACCCACTCCAGTATTCTTGCCTGGAGAATCCCATGGACAGAGGAGCCTGGCAGGCTACACTTCATAGGGTTGCAAACAGTTGGACACCACTGAAGCAACTTAGCACAAAATAAAATACTTATGACTTTCAAGATTTTATAAAAATCTTTACAGAAGGCCTTTCAAGACCCACTTCACTCCATGATCCTACCAAGATATATGTACACACACATATATATACATATATATATATAGAGAGAGAGATTTGTTACAAATGGGAATGTATTTCTCAAAAGGCAGCAATGTAAAGACATAGAAAGAGAGAGAAAAAAGAGAGAGAGAGAACAATCAGGTTAAGCTGCTTTTTATTAATTAATGGTAATTTTATTTGATTCTTAAGTTTCTTATTTCTACTATTTGAAGCACTGTTTCTCAAACCTGTCTGATGAGAAAAATCATATAGAGCATTTGTTAACAACTCATATATATTCCTGCCATGAAAATAAGTCCAAGGATCAGTATTTCTAACAAATTCCCACTAAAATTCAAAATAATTTGGCACATTTGACAAATACTGCCTAGGTCTCATCCCAAATCTAATAAATCAGAATTTCTAGAGGAGAGACAATGAGAATCATATGAAAATAAGTGGGATTTGTATCAAGAAAAAAAGAAATCCCCTTCTAATGTATAAATTTATTTAAAATCATTGCTTTTAAGCTATTTTCTAATATATTAGTGAATTATTGCTAAATTGCCATCATTTAATACAAATAAAAATTAAATTATCCCTTACATAAGGGAAAACTTTTTATTAGACTCATGTAAAAATTAAAGGTATATATCTGAGAACCCCATTCAAAATAGTATTTTCTTCAGTATATGGCACAATACACATGGGATAACAAAAAAGAAAGAAAAAGAAATGAAGCAGTCCCTCCACCTTACATGAGTTCCAAATCTGTTAGGATGGGTTCCTGTGGATATGGGGTAGTATATGCCCTGAAACTGAACAAAAATTCCTGGTGGGGGGGGGGGGGCGGAGCTCTACAAAAGAAAGGATGTTGTTTGTTTTGTTCACTGTCATCTCTCCTGTGCCTACAACAGTGTCTGGCACTCAATAAATATGCACTGAGACTTCATGGAAAGAATGTCACAGAATATATCACAGCACGACAGCGAATGAGAGAGTGAATGAGAGAAACAGACACTGCAAGAGGTCAGGAAACTGATCTTTTTATGTCAAAAGTTAGACATAAAAGTACAAAGAAAATGTAGACAGAGATAAGAGATAGGAGTCATGAGAAAACCAATAAAAGAGAATATTATGGAAGTCACAATAGTTAAGTTTTAAGATAGTGGGAATGGTGAATTGCATTATTCTCAATAGATGATTTACTTATACATACCTTGCGTGGTTGAAAATCATATTTCACACAGTGCTGAAAACCTTTTCCTTTGGACTTCAGGGATGTAACGATCAAACAATTGCCAACAAAATGAGCAGAGTAACCAACTCCTTTGCTAGTACGAAAACTGCAAAGAAAACTGAAAGTAGTATAATATCCTCTGCTACAAAGAACAATATACCTGAAGATTACTATTATATAAATAATATAAAACACAATTATAAAAATAAAACTTGTATACCTACAGAGTAGAAAGGGTATTACAGGTACCAATAAAGACTAAAAAAGGAAAACTTTAGAAATAAAAGAAGAAATTTAAGTTGGGAAAACAGAAGACTATAGAATCTTTTAACATTTCAATTTCACAAATACATAAAGTAACACAAATACATAAAATCAAATTAATGGTCAATAAAAGGCTACCAAGTAGATTTCATAAACTTTCAATGATCACCTGGATTAGCATATATAGAAATCATATACACAGTTAATGTTTCCAAAAACAACTTGCTCTTTAATTCTACTATATATCTGAAAACAGCTTACAAATTTACAAAAAAAGGGAGAGCCAAGTTTGGAAAAAAAGGTAGGTAATCAAGCAAAATCAAGCAAAGGAGTACATGTACTGTCTAAAACAGAAAAAAAGAAAAAAAGATGTGACTAGAGTTATTTTCTTCCAGAGAAATAGTCCTCCAGCTGTTTATTTAATCACACATAAAAACCTGTAAATGTTCTGACAAATGACAGTACTACTGCAATAAAAGTATGATCTCCCAAAATGATCTTTTGGAAGTTCAACCCCATTTATGTTTGGAAGTTCAAATGTTCGTTAAAACTCTCTCTCATATTATCCATACATACTATTCATATGTAATCTTTCTGTAGTAGAGTCTACAACCTATCAATAGCTCACATTTTTCAACACTCACATTTCTGAACTAGTCATTATATAAAAAGCACATAAAATATTATGCTACCATTAAATCCTACATGATAGGTACTATTATTATTCTCATTTTACAGCTGAAGACACCAAAGCACAGGATAAACCGTGAGTGGTAAAGGCAGGACTTAAACTCGGGCAATCTTATTTCAGAGCACTATAAGTATTAAATGATGTAATACAAGTAAGCATTTATAATGCCTACTACATAGTAAGGTAATAAATGAAAGTTTGATGCTTTTATGACTTGGCATTATTGGTAATCTAAAATGACCAAGTTCTGAGTCTTACAGGTGAACCCATTGTTGGGATGATCCACCCTTTCTGTTAGCTATCTACTAAATAATTAATCTTATCTAATTATAACCTCGCACATGGTTATCTGGAGAAGGAAATGGCAACCCACTCCAGTATTCTTGCCTAGAGAATCCCGTGGACAGTGGAGCCTGGTGGGCTGCTGTCCATAGGGTCGCACAGAGTCGGACACGACTGAAGCGACTTAGCATACATGCATGCATTGGAGAAGGACATGGCAACCCACTCCAGTATTCTAGCCTGGAGAATCCCAGGGACAGAGGAGCCTGGTGGGCTGCCGTCTATGGTGTCGCACAGAGTCAGACACGACTGAAGCGACTTAGCAGCAGTAGCAGCACATGGTTATCAAAATCAGTATTTCAAAGCATAGATTAATTGTGCTCACAGAACCATGTAAGTCAAAAGGCAAAGTGAAAGAAATCTGATAGTAGTTTGTTTCTCATTTTCTCTTCTTGATCAGCATCTTCACTCAGAACATACAATTGATATGTGCAGACTCAAGACAGAAGGTCTATAACACTTTATTCTTAAAATGGAATTGAGCAGGGGGGCGGGGCGGGAATAGTAGAGCAGATAGCCTAGAATCAACAGCAAAAAATGAATAAACTGACATAACTGTATCTTTATAGGTTTAACATATTTATTTACTTATTCTACATACTATGTTGCCTTGAAACTATGTTACATATTTTTTAAAATTGAAATGCTTAAGACAAAAGTACTAAAATTAAATATATAACTTACCAATAAAGATAAGGTTTATCCTTATCAACATTAATGTTATTTAATGGATCCATACGAAACCAAGTGTTTAGGGTGAAGCCATTCTGATAAGGCCACTTTGCAATAGGAGGCAATGCAATTGCCTACAAGGTAATGATAAAAAATAGGAAAGTATCAGTTAAAGAAAATGTGACAGGAACTAAGCTCAAGCATGGCTTTCACAGATTAAAACACAATGAAGGTATGAGTATCAAAGACTCATGGACAAATATAAAAACAGAAATTATTACCTTATTAAAGTAATCTATTAATATTACTTGTTGACAATAGAAGTATTACACTTTCAAATACTCAATAAATCAAGTTTCATCTCTAAGTTATATAGTATGGCTCAAACTATACTCCAATAAAGCCTCCTTTAATTTCACCAATATTCAGTCCCTTACACATAGCTGCAAAATTTTCAGCTTACATTAGGTTTTCAGTAATCTTTTACTTGATAAAGGAAGCTGAATTTTCAATCAAAAAACAATTGTGTTAGAAATATTAATGGAATCAATATTGAAGAAACAGAAGTATTAAGAAATAACACTAATACTGAAACAAAGAAGGGGAACATGAAGTTTATCATTCAGAAACTAAACCATTGAAATTTATGATCAAAAAGGACTCAGATCCACTTATAAGTAGGAAAGGAATTAATACAATATTCAGTTGATAATAGTAATTTAAAAAAAAAACTAGCCACTCTAGGGAAAAGAAATGAGAAAGCAATATATTACTTGACCTGAAGTCAAGAAATATCTAAGTGGATTCACTTATCTTCCTATGAGATATCTAAATTCCTTCACATAAAAGATAAGTACCCTTAATGCTTTTATTACTGATCTGTTCCTCCAAGCAGACCCTTCATACATTGCTGCTAATGAACTTACTCAAATATAACATATAGCTTCCATATTAAATATCCTCTGCATATAAAATAAATTCTAAGTTTCTTAAGGTTACACAAGGCTCTTTACACTCTGGCTCCAACAAATCCTTTCAATCTTATTCTCTTCTAGTGCCTTACCTTCCATCCCAAAGTATATCTGAACATACCAGCTGTTCCAACTGTTACATGTTCTGTTCTGTTACCTGTTCCGCAGTTTGTACATGATGCTACTCTGCCCAAAACACAGCCTCCAATAAGATCCCAATTACCCCTCAATTCCAGGCTAATACATCTCTCTCTTGTGAAGCTCTCCTGAACTTCACCATAGCCTAGTTTCTTGTTTCATTGTTTTCCCACAGGAGTGAGTCACTAGCACATAGCACTTAGTAGCCTGTTGTAACAAGGTGCTTTTATGTCTACCAATGAGTTCCTAAAGAGTTAGAAATACAGTTTATACTCCCTGCATTGTGACTTAAGACATAGAAAACATTCAATATGTGATCACTGAAAAATCTCAAAGTAGCAAAATGCCTACTGCATTAAAAAAAAAGGAAAACACACATACAAACACATAAATGGAAACGTATCATTTGATAAGAAGACTCAAACCTTAAAAATGAAATGCAAGTTTTCCTATACAATGTATGTCATGTCCTTTCAGATTTTAATATTAAACAATTAGTCCACTTTAATTATCAATATAGCTTTTTTAACTTTTTAAAAAGGAAAATGTTTTACTTAATTTTTCTGTTTGCTGGTTAGTAAAATGTAATTCTTGCCAAGTTTACTGCTGGATTATACCTCCATAAATTTCACTAAACCAGACATCACCTACTATAGCTGCTTCAGAGTACCAAGGTAAACAGGAGAAATATTTATTGAGGACATTGAATAGTGATTCTACAGAATTATAAAAATAACTTCTATGTATGCATTTGTTCTTAATGCCTGTGGAACACAACGGGCACAGCATTGGATTCATGGTTTCCAAACTCTTGCCATGATGAGCATACCCAAGTGCACATCCATATCAGCATCAGCAATTCATGACAACACTACCACTGCAGCATAACACTCTTAATAAGCATAAGAGTGAGGGCAGCTCACTCTTTTCTCTTTTCCCCCATTACTCCACATATCCAAGCAATCTCTTACTTCCAGCCAATGGCCCCAGCACTTTCTATTAATACATCATCAGTCTCATCATCTGGTCTACTGAGCTCTACATCAGAACTTAGACAATGTGTTGAACTAAGAGATGCAGGAAAGAAAATGAATTGAACTGCTCTTCAAGTTTTCCAGAACTATTCTTCCACCATGGAAAAGGCATGTGGTACCCATCTGTTATTATCCAAATGGTAGGACCGAAAGAGTTCTAAATCACATTCAGTTGCAAACACCAGTGAACTAAATACAACAAGAAAAAGAAAAATCTCACTAAAGAAAAATACAATAAGCTTCAGTGATAATGATATAACAATAGTCTTTGGTCTTGCTTCCCATATTATAATGATATCATAATATTCTTTGGGGCTTCCCAGGTAGCACTAGTGTAAAGAATCCACCTGCCAATTCAGGAGATGCAAGAGACACGGGTTCAATCCCTGGGTCGGGAAGATCCCCTGGAGTAGGAAATGGCAACCCACTCCAGTATTCTTGCCTGGAAAATCCCATGGACAGAGGAGCCTGGCAGGCTACAGTCCCCGGGGTCACAAAGAGCCGAATACGACTTAGCGACTGAACAAAAACAACAATAATTCCACAGATAAATAGGGATCTTTATTTATGGCCAATCTCTTCAACAAGATGGTTAACTCTACTCAAGGACATTCTCTCAAATTTATTTTTTATTACATATATATTCTAAATTTATTATCTTTTATTGAAGTATAGTCTTAAATTTAATAAGTAACAGCTAGAAAAAATGTTTTGGGGACCTAATGTCCCATTTCTAAAGGGTATGACTCAACTTCCAGTTCTTATATATGTTACCAACCAAAGTCTTTCATACAGTACACATTGTATCCCTAGCTTTTTTCAACTCTTTAATGCATACATGCTCCCTTAATCAGTGCACAAATGCTAACTTTGTGAGAAGACTGCCTAATGTGGAACTCAGGTTCATTTACTCCTAAATCATTCAGGCCTAAATACCCATTATCCCATTGTGATAATGGCATGTCCTTTGGACTGTGTCTGTGATTATGGGTTTAAGCTGCCTTCACATTTCTTCCATACTTCCTTCTACAATATTTTGGTATCCATAAACAGGGTCCCTCACTGTGTCTAATGAGGCCACAGAACTCTGAAATCTGTATCCCTCACTGCCTCCTAGACTAGTGAAGTAGCTCAGTCGTGTCCAACTCTTTGCGACCCCGTGGACTGTAGCCTACCAGGATCCTACCTCCATGGGATTCTCCAAGCAAAAATACTGGAGTGGGTTGCCATTTCCTTCTCCAGGGGATCTTCTCGACCCAGGGATTGAACCCGGGTCTCCCGCACTGCAGGCAGACGTGTTAACCTCTGAGCTACCACGGAAGCACTCCAAAATTTACATTTCTGTCTCATTTCGCAAAACTACAAACGGAAAAGATTCTGATGTTCAGATAGGATGCATTCATTTAACTATTTCAATGAATAGAGAAGTGTACTATTTCTTAAATTAAGCAAATTCATGAAATAGATAATAATCATGAAAAACAAATCAAACAATATATTCATAAAGGTAACAGGGCATATAAAATATAATATTACATTTATCATTCACCTTCACACAAATCACTGAAGAATTCAATTAATTCTCTGTAAATATTACCAAATTGCTCATATGGAGGCAACAAAACTCATAGAAAGCATATCCACAATGTGAAATACAATTTAGAAGGCCTAATATGTTATTTTGGTCATTTTGGAGGGAAAGTAAACAATATCATGATTTTAATCATCCAAAGGCACCAATGTGAGCAGCAGTCCAAACACTATGTATTTTCTTATTACTAAAATGCCACTAGTTCATGCTCATTCAGAAGCAGATCGTCAAAACACTGTGATAGGTGTTTTGTGATAGGAAGGGTTTAAAATCAGCTCCTATCTAAATTTTTCAGCAGTTCAACAGCAGAAGTAACATGTTTGAAAATGACTCAATTTGTTGTTAAGTGAAATATTGGATTTGAGATCAGGCAAATTCTTGTTAAGGTTGTGACTCTACTTTAAGACTATGAACAACGTTTACGCTGCGGAGGCTTATTACTTAGTTTCCTCAACTGACAACAGCAGTAATATCACTTATCTTGTACAGACTGTATGACTCAAATGAAATAATAGTTATAAAAGTTCCAGTTCCTTCCCTACTTCCTCCTCTACACAGAATATACCCTTGATTCAAACTACTCTTTATGAAAATGAGTGATGCAGGGAAAACCAGGAAAAGGGGGATAGATAGTATAAGTCTACAAATATCCCATGAGAAAAAACAATTCAAACATATGCTACTAATGACATTAAAATTATCTCTCTGTGTTATGTGTATGTAAAATGCACTGCATATTAATAGGTAACTGATGGCCAAATGGCTAAAAACAGGATGAACTGCAACCATACTGAGGCAATTCAGGCAATTTATTAAGCCAGAGTCATTTATTCAGCTGTAGCTAAACTTTGTTAATTTTATATATAAAACAGGAACTTGCTTATATTTCAGTCAAAACACTTTGCTCTTCTTTCCCATACCTTAGACTGAAACCTATCAGACATCAGGTCAACAACAGTTCTGTAGAATGTATTAGAAATATGTGTGTGTGTGAGCAGAACTATTATATCTAAGAGAACCCTCACCCACTTAGGCACAGTGAGTGTTTTCTCTGCAGATTATATATGTTCCACTCTAACAGAGAGATACATAAAATGATTGACTTCCATCTTGTATTTTTTTTAAAGTTCCTATGTTTTGTTTCATAGCTGGTGAAACGGTAACCTAAAAAAAAAGATTAGTAACAAAATATTCAGGAAAAAATATAAAATTAGGAGAATGGCTAAACAAATGGGAGATTGCAAGAACACTGAAGTACTTACAATAACCAAAGAGCAATTAATATTTACATTATTTTTTACAACTATACAGTGCTTAAACAGTACATTATTTCATTACAGGCTCACAACTCCTATTCCATTATGAAAGTACTATTAGTACTTTTTTACATGAAAGTAAGCCAAGAAACATTAAGGACTAGTCCTCTACAGTAATGAACTAGAGGATTCAGAAATCAAAATTTGTTGTTCTAGCCAAAAATTCCACATATGCTCTACAATATTACCATATAGCTTGAGATGATGAAATCAAGAAGATTGAAAGAGCTATTTCTTTGAAAAGAAGAACAAAATGGAAACACCAGCTAGACCAGGGTTTGACCCCTGGGTCAGGAAGATTCCCTGCAGAAGGAAATGGCAACCCACTCCAATACTCCCTTGCCTGGAGAATTCCATGAACAGAGGAGCTGGGCAGGTTACAGTCCATTGGATCGCAAAGAGTAGGACATGAATGTGTGACTTTCACTTTCACTTTCCAGCTAGACAGACTGAATGAAATTATAGTAACAAGAATGGAAAAGGAGGCATCACTACACATCCTACAGACATTAAAAGGATAATAAAAGGACAGGATGAACAATCTTATGCCAATATATTTGATAACTGAAATTAACCAAAAAATTACATGAAAGACAAAACTACCAATGTTCATTCAAAACAAACAAAAAACTTTCCTATATCTACTATAGAAATGAAGTTCATAATTTAAAACCTTCTCGCGAACAAAATCCCAGACCCAGATGGCTGCAATAGTGAATTCTAGCATACATTCAAGAGTGTGTGTGTGTGTGTGCATGTGTGCTAAGTCGTTTCAGTCGCATCTCTTTGCCACCCTATGGACTGTAGCCCGCCAGGCTCCCCTGTCCATGGGGTTCTCCAGGCAAGAGTACTGGAGTGTGTCGAGTGTGTTGCCATGCCCCCCTCCAGGGGATCCTCCTGACCCAGGGATCAAAGGTGTGTCTCTTACGTCTCCTGCACTGGAAGACAGGTTCTGTACCACTAGTGCCACTTGGAAGCCCACATTCAACAGTAAGTATTATCAATTCTACACAAACTCTTCAATAGAGAGAAATGAATACTTCCCAACCCATTTTACAAGGAAATGAGTTTATGATCCTTAACATCACAACCAACTGGACATGGAACAACAGACTGGTTCCAAATAGGAAAAGGAGTATGTCAAGGCTGTATATTGTCACCCTGCTTATTTAACTTATATGCAGAGTACATCATGAGAAACGCTGAGCTGGAAGAAGCACAAGCTGGAATCAGGATTGCTGGGAGAAATATCAATAACCTCAGATATGCAGATGACACCACCCTTATGGCAGAAAGTGAAGAACTAAAGAGCCTCTTGATGAAAGTGAAAGAGAGTGAAAAAGTTGGCTTAAAGCTTAACATTCAGGAAACTAAGATCATGGCATCTGGTCCCATCACTTCATGGCAAATAGATGGGGAAACAGTGGAAACAGTGGCTGACTATTTTGGGGGGCTCCAAAATCACTGCAGATGGTGACTGCAGCCATGAAATTAAGATGCATACTCCTTAGAAGGAAAGTTATGACCAACCTAGATAGCATATTAAAAAGCAGAGACATTACTTTGCCAACAATGGTCCATCTAGTCAAGGCTATGGTTTTTCCAGTGGTCATATATGGATGTGAGAGTTGGACTGTGAAGAAAGCTGAGCACCAAAAACTTGATGCTTTTGAACTGTGGTGTTGGAGAAGACTCTTGAGAGTCCCTTGGACTGCAAGGAGATCCAGCCAGTCCATCCTAAAGGAGATCAGTCCTGGGTGCTCACTGGAAGGACTGATGCTGAAGCTGAAACTCCAATACTTTGGCTACCTCATGCGAAGAGTTGCCTCACTGGAAAAGACCCGAATGCTGCGAGGGACTGGGGGCAGGAGGAGAAAGGGACGACAGAGGATGAGATGACTGGGTGACATCACCGACTCGATTGACAAGAGTTTGAGTAAACTCCGGGAGTTGGTGATGGACAGGGAGGCGGGGTGTGCTGCGATTCATGGGGTCGGAAAGAGTCAGACACAACTGAGCGACTGAACTGAACATCACAACCGGAGAAAGATTTTGCCAGAAAAGAAAAATGTATCCTCAAATCAATCATAAAAATAACTGTAAATTTTCTTAGTAATATATTAGCAAATCAAATCCAGTATTGTATGAAAAGGTTGTTACACTGTGATAAAATATATTTTTTCCTAGGAATGCAAAGGTGATTTAACACTGAAATATCAGTCAGTGTAATTTACCACATTAATAAGATTAAGAAGAAAAATTATATGATCATTTCAATAAAATCAGAAAAAGCATTTTACAAAATTCAACACTGACATTAATATACTGATGGTGAAAAAAAATGCCCAGCAAATACGAATAGAAGTGAATTTCCTCAACCTGATAAAGGACATTATCTTAAAATATAATGCTAATAGCATATGTAATAGTGAAATATTTAATGCTTTCCCTAAGACTAAGTCAAAACTGGTATGATTACTAACTGTAGGTCCTAGCCAGTGTAATAAGGTACAAAATGCAATTAAAAAGTATCTACATCTACTAAAACTTGCTAGGACAAGTAAGTGAGTTTAGTAAGGTCTCATGATGTAAGGTCAACAATAATAAAATTTTGCATTTTCATATATTAACATAAAACAATATGGAATATTTCTGAATGAATTTAACCCAAAATGTTTAATACTTTGCATGCTAAAAGCTACAAAACACTGAAAAATCAAAATAAAATGAAACAAAGGGAGAAATATATTGTGTTTCATGAGTTGGAATATTCAGAATTAGATCCACACAAAAATGGGAGTTTTCAAGAAAGGTATCAACACAATCCAAAGTGAAAAGAACTGTTGCTTCAACAAATGGTTATGAAATAATCAATAGTCACATGTTAAAACAAACAAAACTTAACCTCCAATCTTCCTTCATACCATATTTTAAAAATTCACACAAAAGGGATCTTAGTGTGATCCTAACATAAGACCTAAAGATAAGAGCTAATATAACCAACTTTCAGTAGAATGTGTAAGAGAAAAAACTCTATAACCTTGGTTTATACCAACTCTTAGACTACAAAAAGCATATGCCATTAAAGAAAGAAAATTTTAATTGAACTTCATCAAAATTAAAATCCTTTGCAGTTCAAGAAATATTTGTTAAGAAAATAAAAAGACAAGCATCAGATTGGGAGAAAATATTTGACAAATGCATTTCCTAATTAATTTATATCCCAAATATATAGTGAACTCTTGAAATAACAAGACAAACAATCACATTTTTTAACGTGAACAGAAGACTTGAACACAAACATCACAAAAGATTTAAGAATGGCCAATAAACACAAGAAAAATGCTCAGTATCAGCCATAAGGGCAACACAAAATTAAAACTACATTGAGTTACGTTTACACTAGCATTTACAAGTCTCAAATTTAAAAGACAGGACTGAATTGAACTGAACTGAATGTCCAGGATGCAGATCAACTGTGATTTTCATATACTGCTTATGAGAATGCAAAATTTTTCACTACAGAAAGCAATTTGCTTGTTTATGATGAAACAAAATACACACTTGATAAGAAACCCAGCAATCCCACTCTTAGGTATTTACTCAAGAGATAAGAAAACATATCTGCAGAAGATCTACATTCAAGACCTAATAGCTTTACTTATAATAACACAAAAACTGAAAACCCAAAAGTCCATCAACTAGTGAATAGTAAACTATAGTATATATCCATAAAATGTAATACTACTCAGAATATAAGGAATAGAATAAACTCCTGATAACCTATTACAAAATGGATAATCTCAAAAGCATTAAGCTAAGTAAAAGAAAGCTGACAGAAAAAGACTTAGATACTATTTGATTTGATTTATATGAAATTTTTAAAAAAGTAAAATTATATAAACACAAAATAAATCAAAGGCTGCTAAGGAGAGGACCAGGGAGAGGGAAATGGCTTCAAAGAGACAAGGAAATTTTGGTGAGTGATGGAATTGTTCTAAATCATGACTGTGGTGACAGTGAAGGGATTATTCAAAACTCATCAAACTGTACTTTTTATTTTTTAATTTTTTTTATTTTTCTTCCCCCCTCCAACCTCCCTCTCTATCCACTCCCTCTGGGTCTTCCCAGTGCACCAGGCCCGAGCACTTGTCTCATGCATCCCACCTGGGCTGGTGATCTGTTTCACCCTAGATAATATACATGTTTTGATGCTGTTCTCTCGAAACATCCCACCCTCGCCTTCTCCCACAGAGTCCAAAAGTCTGTTCTGTACATTTGTGTCTCTTTTTCTGTTTTGCATATAGGGTTATCATTACCATCTTTCTAAATTCCATATATATGTGTTAGTATGCTGTAATGTTCTTTATCTTTCTGGCTTAATTCTCTCTGTATAATGGGCTCCAATTTCATCCATCTCATTAGAACTGATTCAAATGAATTCTTTTTAATGGCTGAGTAATATTCCATGTGTATATGTACCACAGCTTTCTTATCCATTCATCTGCTGATGGGCAGCTAGGTTGCTTCCATGTCCTGGCTATTATGAGCACTGTTTATAATAGCCAGGACATGGAAGCACTGTTTATAATAGCCAAACTCTACTTTTTAAATTGCTGAATTTGACTGTGGATAAATTATGCCATAGTAGAATTGACTTAAATAAAAACAAACAAGTATTTAAAACTTACCGCAGCACTACAACCAGGGAAATTGAAAAAAGTATCAGGACCATGTCTTTGTGGCATCTGATTAAGAACGGATAATAATTTTACTGCATGCCTTGGCTAAGGAAACAAAAAAAAGGAATGTTACTGTACAAATTTAACAAAAATATCTAATATATCACCTTAACCATCAGACTGTTTTCTAGCTAGAGAGAAAATTATTTTTAAATCATTTACTGAACTATTTAAGAGGAGCAATTTTATTACCAATTCAAGTTTATAGCTCTTTAGAGACAAATTGTTGAACATTAAGTATTAATGCAATGATATTGAATACTTTTCCCTTTGACCACAGCTTACCCAGATTCCACTTTCTCCTCGAAGCATGCTGAACAAAAGCTTCAATTCCTTGACAGTGATGCTGTAGCTGGCAAGAACCCCCAACATATCAACTAGAAGATCTTCAAAGGAAAATAAAGTTATTCTGAACTCTAGTCATGAGCTGTCATCTGTCAAGGTAATACACTTTTAGAAAGAGCAAAAGTTATCTCGTCATTTCTACATATATATTGGTATCCATTATAGCCAATAACCTCATGAATAGCCATTCAAATTAACAATTATTAATCATCATATAAGAAAAGAATACTTTAAAGACCTTTTTGTTCCCATCAGAATTATGATCTCAATTAAGCTCTCTTTGAAAAGTCATAAAAAATGGATTTTATAAATTCCCAGAATACACATACATACACATAAATCTGCTATATGCAGGGAAAGACAGGCAAAAATATGCAAAGGTACAATGATTTAACATTGTAAATTTGTTATTTTCAAATGAAAACTGATGTTTGACCACATATTGATTTAGAATTATCTACTCTTAAAAAAATATATTCTTGAACTATCCCCTGGCCCATCAGCAACAATTCTGAGTACTCACTCCTTGCCTGGCATCATTCCAAGTGGTTTACAAAGATTAACTTCACAAATCCCTGTAACAAGCTTAAGTATTTTCATTAACCTCTTCTAAAAATGAGGAAGTGAGGCACAGGTAACTTAATTCCATTGCCAAAGCACACACTCTAGTAAGTGGTACAGTTAAAATTCAAACCTAGGCAATATGTCTTCAGAGCTCTGATTTTTACCCACTAGTCTCTAAATGGAAGTACCATTTCAACCCCTCACTAGTGATATCCATTATGACAATGTATTTATGTGCATACAAGAGACATACCAACTCACTAGATAAGAAAAAAATATATATTTAATCTCTTGTCTCTGATTACTTTCTCATCTCTAGACACTGTGAGTCACAGTACCTCTGAGTCATTCTTTGCAAGAAATTAAACATTTAAATATACATCTCAATTTCTAAAGCGCTTACTAAGAATTCAGATACCATACAAGTTATAATAAATACACATAAACATTATAAGAAGCTTATCATCAATTAATAGTTTAGGTTAGGATAAACTGAAATAATTAGCTATTGATATATACATTATTTAATATCACAGATTAATAGCTGAACTTTGAGACTTTAAAAATATTTATTATGTATTTCAAAATAAAAACATAATGTGGTTAAGTCATCAATAAATTGACTTACTCATAACACCACTGTAAGTAAGCAATCTCTATGATAAAACTGTACTGTGGATATGCCATTTTAAAGAGACATTTTTAATGGAAGATCATTCATTATTCAAATTATAAAAATGTCCAAAGTTACTATATATTAGCCAGGTGATCTATTTCTAAGAAAAAATTCTAGATAAAAACCAAGCATTTTAAAACCTCAAGTTAATATTAAGCATTTTTAAGCAACTAGCTGAAATGGCAAAATCATCAAAGATTTCTTTCAAGTATGTCTACACATACTACAGTAAAAGAACTGTATTTCCAAACCTTTATCTCATCTCCTATATATGTCAAAAAAGAAGATCTACTAAATTTGCATTTACTTACATAATTATTAAAATTTCTTATTATACAGATAACATAAACAAGCACCTCAATTTTTAATTTCACTATAACAACTCTTCTTTTCTCATACAAGATTTTTAAAGGAGAAAAAATACTATGAAAATATACTATCAATTTACAATAGACGTTTAAACACCTTCTAGAGATACTTTCAACATTATTAAATGAAAAGAATCTCTTTTAATGTAGCATGCTACAAAACACTCAGAATGAAAACTTAGTAGGGTTTTGGTAGTTACTGGGGCTTCATTAGTATGTTATCTAGATTTAAATTTCTCTACTGAAAAGTAAAGTACTGTAAATTTTTCTAACACTTTTTTAATGTTCAAATAACAAAAAGTGAAAATTTTGTTATCCATATTATTAACAAGAATAAGGGATAAGGAAACTAAGAGGTTTATATAACAGAAAATGTGAAGATATGACTTTCTTGGTAATATCAAGCTTACTATCACCTTACTTCAGTACTCATCAGTTATGTATAGTATGTTCAGAATTGTGGCTCACTTTCTAAAGTGTACTCTATAAAGTGCACTTTATTTACAAAAAAGAAAGAAAGAAAAAGGAAAGAATTTTAAGGGTTTAAACCCAGATACGAGGATTTAAAGATCAAATGATGTTCTATACAACATGTGTACATGTAAGTTTATACAAATAAATTCCTGCTAATGTTAAAATTTAGAGAAAGGGTACCATATCTCCATCAAAAATATCTTTTAATTTTGATTCTAATTTTTCAAGTTAACCATCAGTAACCAAGACAAGAGAATGCTAAATCATTCTAAATAGAGATACATGCCACCTTGAAAGCAATTACAAATGATTTTAATATATTCGATAAGAAAAATGAAATTGTGAAGTATTGTTTAAATTTTAAAAAGCATTGATCTTTATTCTTCATTCCTTCTTTCCTGTTTAATATTTTATTCTACTGATATTAAAACTATGCATAAAGCAAAACATTACAGAGGATTTTCTGGTGTTTGAGTTATTTTTAAAGATCAGATATGATCAGATATTGTGAGGAATTATACTAGTACTTTTAGAATTATGAAACCTTTTCATGTCAGAAGAAAGTTAGGCTAAAGACTCATGGCTTAAGAGAATCAACATCATAAACTCCTTATTTTCTGGGAATAGCTGGTGTTCTGGGACCATCTTTCAAAATATTTTTACTTAAGTGCATCTAACCACTGAGGGAAATGGATTTGCAGGTGAGTAAAGGACTGATGATGAAGAATTACACATATCAAAATTATTATTTCAAATAACACATAACAACACAAAATTATTAAACTTTTATCTTGAAATGTCACGCAAATTGTATACTCTAAGCCACAATGTCTGCATTTAATACAAAAATTCCTCCAAAAAATATCAAAGTAAGATTGACATTTCCAAAAATTATAGCATGCTTGGCCTAAGGCTTTTAGCACTTCCTGTTTCATATGTCAGGCTAAAGAAGATGGAGGTCAGAGAACTTTTAATAAAGTACCAATTTTAAAGAAATGTAATATGTATTGTAGTATTTTGATTATGTAAAAGCTTAAGTTCTACATAGAAAGGCACCATTCATTTTTCTGATAGATCTCAGAGCACTTATTCCACATTACTCAGATTTTCTAAAACCTGGAAAACCAAAATAGTAATTATATCTGTCTAATACAGAAATCATCTTTCATTCTACAGGTTTTCCCTTAATATAAAAGGCACATTTCCAATACATCTTGACTTATCTATTTTAAAACAAAGTAGCTTCAACAAACCTATATTAAACTAAAGAATAAGAGAAGTATATGAACATTTAAATTATACTTTCCTATCAGATAATCCCATACCTGCTATCATGTCATCTACAGCACTCATTTTCAGCAATACTTGCTCAATGAGCCCAACTTCTGTACTAGTCTGTAAATTCCGAACACTTTTTCGCAGGATGGCTGTAAACATGCTCCATATTTCTGCTTGACATGTGACATCACAGTGTTCCAAAAGCTCTGTCATGCACGTTATGCTTTCAGCATCTTGGATAATAAAGTTCATCTCCAAGTCAAATTCTCCACCAACCAGCTGAAAAGAAACAGAAAAAATCACTATGATAATATGAGAGGTTATATATACAACAAAACAAATATTTAGCTAGCAAGAAAATATTAAGAGTCTAAAAAATTTCAAGTCTTCTAGTCAAAAACTAATTTTGATTTTAAAAAAAGTCACTACAGATAAGTGAAAGGCACTGTAAGAAATAAAACTATCTAAGAGAACTTTTTTTTCTTTCAAATGGGAAAAGGCAATTTCAAATCTAGAAGACTAGACCAAAGTAGAACAGATGACTAAGAGGTAAGTTCCGGGACAAATATTAAAAAGACATTGACTCTGAAAAGTGATAAATACTAGAAGATGCAGATCACTAAAGATGAATGTCAAGGCATGGAAATTCATTTTCTTTTATATTACTAGACTGACAAAAAAGATTTAACAAGAAAAGAATAACTGGGTCTAATCTCCATGTATAGAATATGAAGAAATGAGAAACTATATTAGCAAACTTATACTAAATGTTGAAAGAATTAATGGTACAATTGTTTAAAAGAGAAATACCTAATATCCAGTGGTACTTAAAAAAAAAACAAAACATGTAAACTGGGAAAGAAGGCAACGTATTTGACTTGTGACATTATGCCAAGTGAGTCATAAGTACTGCTGTCCCTCCTATATGCTACTTTAAATACCATGACAGACAAATACACATGGAATAAAAGATATGATGATCCTCTTAATTCTATACTGGTCAAATCACACATGAATTAGTTTACTAAGTAATCAGTACCATTTTTAAGGAAAAACATTAACAACTTGGGTATCTTTTTGATCTAGAGAATGGGAAATTTAGGCTGAAGATAATAGGCCTATACAAAATATGTGACAAATGTGAAGTCATTCATTCCCTTATTCAATAGGTATTTTATTTATTAAAAACTAGAACTTCCTGTTCTAAGAAATAGAAATATATCTGTGGACACAAAAAGCCCATGCACTAACAGTGCTAAATTCTAGAAATAAAAATGTCTATTTGTATTTATATATATTCTATTTTATTCCAAAAAAGGTTGAAGTTGGCTTACAAATTATATAAAGTATAAAAGAAGACATAAATAGTGAGTAGCTGAGAAAGAGGAAGTAAAGGAAGATAAGATTAAGGACTAGAGATTAGACTCAAGAAGCGGAATTAATTTTCCATCCATGAAAGTTGTTCATTAATACAGACGGATGTGCACATAATATAATATACATGGGAAAATAACTGCAATAATAACAACACTACCTAACCTTATTTAACTTATATGAAGAGTACACGATGAGAAATGCTGGACTGGATGAAGCACAAGCTGGAATCAAGACTGCTGGGAGAAATATCAGTAACCTCAGATATGCCAATGACATCACCTTTATGCCAGAAAGCAAAGAACTAAAGAGCCTCTTGATGAAAGTGAAAGAGGAGAATGAAATAGCTGGGTTAAAACTCAACATTCAAAAAACGAAGATTATGGCATCCAGTCCCATCACTTCATGGCAAATAGATGGGGAAACAGTGAAAACAGTGGCTTACTTTATTTTCTTCGGCTCTAAAATCACTGTAGATGGTGACTGCAGCCATGAAATTAAAAGGTGCTTGCTCCTTGGAAGAACAGCTATAACCAACCTAGACAGCATATTAAAAAGCAGAGACATTACTTTGCCAACAAAAGCCTATCTAGTCATGTACTGTATAGATGTGAAAGTTGGACCATAAAGAAAGCTGAGGATGGGAGATTTGAAGCTTTTGAACTGTGGTGCTGGAGAAGACTCTTGAGAGTCCCTTGGACTGCAAGGAGATCCAACCAGTCCATCCTAAAGGAAATCAGTCCTGAGTATTCATTGGAAGGACTGATGCTGAAGCTGATAGGTCACCTGATGTGAAGAATTGACTCATTGGAAAAGACCCTGATTCTGGGAAAGACTGAAGGCAGGAGGAGAAGGGGATGACAGAGAATGAGATGGCTGGATGGCATCACTGACTCGATGGACATGAATGTGAGTAAGCTCCAGGAGTTGGTGATGGACAGGGAAGCCTGGCATGCTGCAGTTCAGGGGGTCGCAAAGAGTCAGACACGACTGAGCGACTGAGCTGAACTGAACTTCATAATGCCGTTTAGTACTATTCTCAGTGCTTGACAAAGAACCCTATTATTATCTTCACTTTACAGGTAAGGAATCACAGGTACAGAAAGTTCAAGCAACATCCAAAAATCTCACAAGACTAGTAGATAGAGAACCCAGGATCAAAATCCACTAAGTCTTTCTTTACAAAACTTCATAAAAGCAATAAAATCTCATTTAACAATATTTTAAAAGTCTTCTAAAATTTAGGAGTTTTAAAAAAGTATTCTCAAATTGTGAAATATTACACTCTGTATATATATTTTCTTTGTAACAGCTCCAAAATTCAATTTTATAAGAGACTATAACCCTTATGCTGACTTCTGATCTTTTACTGAACTAAATATTTTCTCTGGTTAAACCTTGGTTTTACTTCTATATGGCAAACAATTTCAACTCCTCCTACTATTTCTGGTTTATTAATAAAAATAGCTATGAGGAAGGTTAAGAGATTGGCTCTGAATTCAGATTTCCTGTATGTTGATTTTTGCTGTACCACTCACTTGCTATGTGACCTTTAATGATGCTACATCTCTAAGCCTCAGTCAATTCATCTACAATATGGGAATAAAAGTTCCTAGCTAATAAGCTGCTGTGAAGATTAAATAAATCAAGTAGCTGGGTTATAAGCACTTAGTAACAAAGTCAGGAGCATTCAATCAAGGAGCTAAAATTAGATATAACTTGTTCTCTAACCCCAACTTTGAGCTAAAAAAAGTAGCCATTTGATCACACACATCTAAAGTACAATGAAACAGCCAGTATAACCTTTATGTTTCTGGTAAATGATAAATTATTATGGACTGTGTACTCCCCTAGATATTACTTGTCAATCTAGCAAAACCAACTCAAGCAACATTTTAACTATGCCATCTTCAAACCAAGAACTGCTTACTTATTCATATTCATATATCCAACTGACTTGGGTCACTACTGTCAACTTGTAAACTTATGATTAGTAACTCAGAAGAGGTTCTCTAGAAGCAAACCATATAGAGAAATAAAGTAGGCTGAAAAAGAATGATGTGGACAAATTACTGACTGAACCAAAAAAAGTAGATTCCAAAGTTTAATTCTGTAAGCCTCAGAATAAATCTGTGTAAGAATTAGCATACACTAAAATGGAAAAACACTGACAAATTCTTCAGACTGATCTCCTTAATTAGTTGTAAATGCTTAAATAGAACCTAGTATAATCAAGAAACATTATCAAATGTATAAGTAGCAGAAATGGGCTCAGTGGTAACAAAAACAGTCTGCTTTTAAAGGAATTAACAATTATAATGTTTAATTCTAACAATCAGGCTATTATGTGAAGCCTAAGGTTCCATCTACCACAGTTTAAAAAAAAATGCCTCTTTCTATACATTATTTAATTACAAAAACAAAACACAGTTACATCTCCTTGATTTCACTGCCAGAAACTGTAACAATATTTATTATATGTGTTATAACAGAATGGACCTATGTTTTCAGGTGGTCTTTCTAACCATATTAATTTTTAACACCTTAGTATTAAGGAGGTTAACTGCTTACAGAACTATCATTCCACGATTAGGAAGATATTTACTCTTCACTTGTAATGAATAGTTCAGTATTTATCAAGGAAAGCATACAAGAAAAAGTAGAAAAAAAATCAGTCTTCATTATTTAAACAATTCTTTAACAACATTATGAGGAAAAGGCATAGTTGCCTTCAGAGAAGGAACCTAGAGATAAATGAGGGTAAGTAATATAACCAAAGTCACATATGAGTTAAGTGGCAGATCCAAACTTCTAATCTACACTAAAAAATGTAATGAAATGACTTGTTATGAAGTCAAGGGTGTAAACTTAAAAAATCGAGCTGGGACATGTCATAGTAACTCTATGAAAAAAATCAGTGCCTTAATAACAGTGTATGGGTAAAATGAGGAAAGACAAAATGATTTCTGTCTGTAAGAAATGAAACATTCAGAGATAGCAAATCACAGTAAAGAAAACTGAAGGCCCAGTTACAAGAAAATTGGCAATAAAAAAGAAAATAAAAATGAAAGAGAAAATAAATACAAATGATCTTTTTAAATTAACTAAATTGTATTTAGATAAAAGCATGAACATTATTGTATAAAAATTCAGAATATAAAATCCTGGCCTGGAAATGTACTATCTTCTGAAAGTTCTATAGTTTATAATTACTAGAGATTCAAGTATCTTTTATTTTTTAAGAATCGAGTTTTCAATATCTTTATTTTGAAATCTTAAGATTCATAAAGAATAGGATAAATCTTAGGATCATAAATAATAATTCAGCTTATATTAATTAGATCAAATTGGATAATCATTAACCTGTTGGATTTCTTTGCAACTCTGTGGATAAACTCTAAGCTAGATAACATTGCTTCAGTTCAGTTGCTCAGTCGTGTCCGACTCTTTGTGACACCATGAACCACAACACGTCAGGCCTCCCTGGCCATCACCAACTCCGGGAGTCTACCCACACTCATGTCCATTGAGTCAGTGGTGCCATTCAACCATCTGATTCTCTGCCGTCCCCTTCTCCTCTTGCCCTCAATCCCTCCCAGCATCAGGGTCTCTTCAAATGAGTCAGCTCTTCATATCAGGTGGCCAAAGTATTGCAGTTTCAGCTTCAACATCAGTCCTTCCAATGAACACCCAGGACTGATCTCCTTTAGGGGATGGACTGGCTGGACCTCCTTGCTTCTCCAACACCATGGTTCAAAAGCATTGATTCTTCAGCGTTCAGCTTTCTTTATAGTCCAACTCTCACGTCCGTACATGACCACTGGAAAAACCACAGCCTTGACAAGACATACCTTTGTTGACAAAGCAATGTCTCTGCTTTTTAATATACTGTCTAGGTTGGTCAT